GGCTTGGCTCCCCTCCACATCTTTCCTGTTCTTTGTGTAGGGTGAATGGAGAGCTCTGGAAAAGGGAGAGTCTGAAACTAAGAGGCCATTAAACTATCCAAACGTCTCTAATGAGTTTATTAAAATGTTCCCTTCACCTGGAAATATAGACAGAGCCCATCAAGGCTTGTAAAAACAAAACCAAATAGGGTTAAGCCAAAAGAAGCAGAAATGAGGGTCTTTGGGCTCCCACCTCTTATGGCATCCATAGAGTAACCCTTTAAGCAGGTCAAGTGGAATCAGAAGATTTGTATGTCCAGTGCCTGCTAGGGATGCTATGGAACGCTGGTTGTGCCCCATATGCAAGTGACTCATCTTGGAATTAAACCCCACGTACCCTCCATTCACCAAGGCAACCGTGAATACTGACCTGAGCTGCTTCAACCTAGAGAAAGGTATATCTTTTTCCTAATCTGTCTGGCCAGAGGAAACACCTGTTTCTAACTCCTGACCCAGGAGGAGCACCTTTTTGTAATCTGAACAAAGTCACCGTATGGGCTAACAGCCCCATTATGTGCAAATGGCCAGCCCCAGTCCATTTTGTAAACTGATCTCCCAGAGTAGTAGAAGATGGAAAGGAATTAAGGAGACCAAGCATAACTCGTCTGGAAGGCTTCTCAGATCCAGAGCTTCTCACCTTAGCATGGAACTTGATGCCATTGAAATATGTGGACAGAGCCTCTGTGTGCTTTCTCCAAGGGTCCTGGATCCGAGGAGGGCCAAGAAGGAGAGGAAGAACAGAAGGTGATTCCTTCTCTGCCATAGGCCTGGACCTAGAACTCAGTTCTAGAGGTTATCTCTTGATCACAGAGCCAGCCCTGAGCTGGTCTTGAGACATCAACCTTCAGCTAAGAATCCACCTAGTTTTTTAGAACTGTTTTGAATATGATGGAGGCCAGTCCCTCTTTTAAAAAAATTTTTTTTTCAACGTTTATTTATTTTTGGGACAGAGAGAGACAGAGCATGAACGGGGGAGGGGCAGAGAGAGAGGGAGACACAGAATCGGAAACAGGCTCCAGGCTCTGAGCCATCAGCCCAGAGCCCGACGCGGGGCTCGAACTCACGGACCGCGAGATCGTGACCTGGCTGAAGTCGGACGCTTAACCGACTGTGCCACCCAGGCGCCCCCAGTCCCTCTTTTAAAAAGCCATCAAGTAAGTTCCCAAAGTTGGCAGTTACCCAGTTGGGCCTCACCAGGGCCTGATCACTCAGCCATCTTCACCACTGAATTAAGTTAGGAAGGGCCCAGGCTTCTGAGCTCAGGCTTCTAAAGGACTATGGAGCAGCTTCATTCATTCAGCCAGATTTAGTGAGCACCTACTCTGCACCAGGCACTGGTAGTTACTTGGGTACAACGCTGAACTAGTCATGCATGGCCTCTGTCTTCAACAAACTCCCACTCAGATGGAGAGACAGGCAATAAAACAAGAAATTACCCCACTGAGTAACAATGCTGTGACACACAGAAGCCACTCATTTTTGAAGGAGTAAATGAATGAAAGAGCGAATGAATGAATGAACTATGGACTGTTGTGCTATGGACTATGGACTGGGGGATTAGAGAAGGCTTTCTAGAAAGTGATTTGTAACCTAAAGGATGTATAAATTTAGCCATGTGAAATGGAGTAATGGGGAAGAGTATTCTAGGCAGAGGAAATGGCCTGTGCAAATGGCCTGGGCTTGGGAGGGCAAGATGTGGTGGCAAAGCCAAGAAAATTCTAACATATCGGCATAGGTTGTGGGGGTCACGGTGGGGGTATGTGGAAGAGATAAGGTCTGTGAAGTACTCAGGGGTGGGTTGCAAAGGATACTGTCATCCATTTTGAAGAATTTATATTCATCCGAAGAAATGGGACGTTTAAACAAGCTGGAGATGTTGGTATTTTCAGGCACCCGAGTCAACCCAATGAGAACATTTCAGAGGACCTTTATCTCTGTTTTCTGGAAGGATGGAAAAGCATGATGCCTTATACAGTTCTCAGTTCTAATTACACAAGTTACGTGTGCATAATAGTCATGGTCAGGTGGAGACAAGCTGAAAGCGTCTCTGAGCTCAGAGTGTGGGGTTGAGAAGGCAAACAGGGCAAAGTCCCCTTCTGTATCCACTAGCCTGGAGGGGCCTCACACTCAGGAAATCCTTGCCTATGGGGACCCATGATGCACCAGGGCAAATGCATTGGAAGTGGTAGCCAGGGCTGGGAACAAGTACCTGGGAAGAGAAAGGCCAGCCTGGATGCCCCAGGGTAGCAAGCCAGTTACAATGGATAGATAATGGAAGCTGTCATACTCACAGGCCCCTTCGTTTGAGTTACCTTCTAGCCTCGTTCTCCCCAAAAAGGGCTTGCCTGATTCCCTGCACCCATCCTGGAACCAAGCTCCGGTCTGAGAGCCCATCAGTTTTCTCATTCCTGACAGAGGTGGTAGAAATACACATGTTGCCAATGAACTCCCAGAGGTGGGAAAGATACAGCATCCGCAACTGCAAATGGGAAGACAAAAAGGAGGTGCTGAATGGGAACAGGGCCTTTACCTTCTTTTTAAAGAAGTCTCACTCAACAAAACTCCACTTGAGCAACATTATTTTGAGGTCCCTTGTCCCAAAGCAAAGCTTGCCAGATCACCAAGCAGATAAAGATGACAGGGACGGCTGTGCTGGGGAGAACTTGGTAACGCTGGACCATCACCCTGTCTGTGTGCAAAGCCTCCTGGGAGAATCCACAAAGGAAGTTCCGCCTCCCCAGTCCAGAAGCTGACATCCTGAGCCGCCAGAGTTTGCTGTGATTCTCGCAGTTCTGGTGTCTCTGTGCCTCACCCTCGTGACCAATTGCTGAGAAGGCAGACATGGTCCTTTAAGAAAGCCCAAAAGTCCCGCTCCTTTAGGCCCAAGTTACCTGTAATAAGGGGTGGGAGGGAAGCAGGTTCTTGACGGTGAGGTCTCACTGATATTGGTGGCCCCAGGACAAGAGTATAGAAGGAGGCCTACATACTGGATGTCTAAATGTTTATAAGTCAAGCCAGCAAACCTAAACAAAATATGTTCTCCTATTCTGGCAAACATACCTCCAAAATGATCTGGAAAGTCAGGTTTGAATTTAGAACCTCAGACCCCTCAGAGTGGCCGGCCACAACATGGCAGTGGGGGGTGGGGGCGGTGTCCCTGCCTCAATGCCCTGGTCCCTGCCTTTCTCCTCCTGCCTCTTACACCAACCAACACCGTGATGGGCCTCCCACACGTGCACATAGACACCCCAGCCTGAACATCTAAGCTCTGTACAAAGAGTCACCCTTGGACCTAAGAGTGTGCACACCTAAAGCATGGTTATGTCCCCAGGAGAACAGATCCATGGATGAGCCTGCAGAGATCCTGAAAGGGGTCCCAAGGGCCATTTAAACAGAGAACAGAGAATTCTGGGATCTCAGGTACCCATGAACTGGTAGTGCCCTCCTGGCCTCACAGATCTCTTGCCCCATGAGGATAGTTACTGCTGGAGGAGGCCCAGGGCAAAGATTCCTCTCACCCACAGTGAAAGAAGCACAGTAGTAGTATTGGCAGGGGCCAGACCAAACCCACTGTGTCAATCACAGCCATGACACTGGTCTGAACGTTTTAAGAAAACCACCCACTGTGCTTCTAAACACAGACACCATTGCTTTCCCAAGGGCTGGCTCAACCTCCTTTCCTCCTTCATCTGTCCCAGTTCAGACCCAAACAGGACTCTGGGAAATGCTCCCCGTTCCCATTCACCCCAAATCCAAATGTCCAAGCCCCTCCCAAAGCCCTTTGTCACAAGCACACCCTCGTGATCTGGATACCCAGACAGAGGCAAGCTCCAGCCCCTACTGCATTTTCAGCAAGGGTTTCTTGATCCAACTTGGGCATTAAGGGACTGATGAGGTTAGTGTTGATGGCCTTGAGGTCCCCTTGCTGAGAAAACCAAACAGATCTGATGCCTCACCTGTTAGGAACACTGAAAAACCAAAACTCAAAGCTGAGGGCCAAGTGTGAGGGTGTGCAGAAAGGTGTGTGTTTTTTCTTGTCATTTTCGACTCTAATGATGGACTCACGTTGCCCGCTCTTCCCTTTCTCTTACACCTTACCTACCTACTAAAGGAGGAGCTCTTGCTTGGTAAGTGGATATAATCCGCAAAGACATGAGAGAATTTATTAGAAGCCACTCGAGAGCCTTAGCTACCTTCTCCAGGGGGAAAAGGACACACACAAATGATCGTAGAGAGCTTTTTTTTCGTTTGTTTTCAGTCAGACTATTTGACTTCCATTTTTTTTGTCCCCCTTTCTTTTCCCCTTTAGTTGAAAACTACTAAAATGTCATTTTGTGACCTTGACTTTATACTTAAAAAAAAAAAAAAACTTCTCTTTATTTCATTTCTTTTCCCCTTGCAATATTTGTTTAGGGTTCTATTCAGGGAACTTTTTTCTTTTAAAAAAAAAAAAAAAGGTCAAATTCGTTGAGGATTTGGTTGAAGTTTAAAATTTTGGCTTTATCTTTTTTTTTTTTTTAAGTTCCAAGATATGTTTTTCATGTCCATTGCCCCATTTCTTTTCCCCTCCCCCTTCCTTTATTTTTATTATTGTTTTAGCTTAAGGGTGTTTATACACCCCCCCCTTTCGATTGAGTTGTCTGTTTTGTTTGAGTTAATTCATTAGAAATTAAATTTTGTATAATTTCCTTTTTCTTTTGTTTAATCTGGATCGCATGCTTTTTCTCTGCATGATACCTAAATCTTCCAGTTATTCTAGCAGGGGGTAAAAAAAAAAAAATCTCCTTTCTGTGGTATTCTTTCAGGAATTTGTGCTTTTGTTTTTTGGCGTCTCTTCTTTCCTCTTCTCTCTCTCTTTCCTTTCGTTACAGTGCATCATGACGGTAAACATTTCTTGGTTATTTAGACACAGTGCACAGGCCCGGCGATCAGCAGTGTCCAACGGGTGTTTTTGCTTTCAGATCACTGGGTCGGGGTCTGCAGCTGACCTCTTTACCAAAACAGCCAGCCCGCTCACCACCTCCCGAGGACGCTCCCAGGAGTATGACTCAGGCAATGACACCTCCTCGCCACCCTCCACGCAAATCAGCTCAGCCAGGTCACGGGGTCAAGAGAAGGGCAGCCCCGGTGGGGGCCTAAACAAGAGCCGGGAACTCAACTGTGGAAACACCTCTGATTCAGGGAACTCCTTCACCACCTCCTCACCCCAGAACAAGGGGGCCACTTTGGAGAATCTCTCCCCCACCAGCAGGGGCAGAGAGTCAAGGTCAGTGCACTTAGGCTGGGTGGGGGTGGGGGGTGGGGG